GCTGCTTTGTCTGGCAGGGACGAGCCCGGACTGACAAGGAGGCAGCTCCTCCACGGGCACAATTCCCAGGGGTGGAACGCGAGCCCTGAACACCCCGGGGGACAGGGACAGCAGGGCAGTGCCAGCAGCACGCACAGCCGCCTGGGACTGCGCTCCCAGAGGGATTTCCCACGTGGAGAGGGCTCTGGCTCAGCTGTCACCCCGCTGCCAGGCAGGGGAAGGTGACAAGTGACAAAGAGCTGCCCAGGAGAGCCTCCCGCGCCGCTCTGCCAGCAGCAGGATTAATTCAAAGCCATTTCCCAAGGAAGGCAAAGCGATTTAATTCCGTGCCCCGCTTTGATTCCTCTCTGAAACAAATGGAGTTCTCGGATTCAGCTCTCAGGCAGGATGGATCACCCGGGCAGGCACAGAGGGCTCGCCCGACCTGGAAACCGCAGCTCGGGGGCGTCACACGGGTGTCACACGAGTGTCACACGGGTGTCACACGGGTGTCACACGGGCGTCACACGGGTGTCACACGGGTATCACACGGGCGTCACACAGGTGTCCCACGGGTGTCCCACGGGTGTCACACGGGTGTCACACGGGTGTCACACGGGTGTCACACAGGCGTCACACGGGTGTCACACGGGTGTCACACGGGCGTCACACGGGTGTCACACGGGTGTCACACGGGCGTCACACGGGTGTCACACGGGTGTCACCCTGCTCCCAGGACCACAGGAACTTGTGGAAACCGCAGCTCGGGGGCGTCACACGGGGGTCACACGGGTGTCACGCGGGTATCACACGGGCGTCACACAGGTGTCCCACGGGTGTCCCACGGGTGTCACACGGGTGTCACCCTGCTCCCAGGACCACGGGAACGTGTGGAAACCTCAGCTCAGGGGTGTCACACGGGTGTCACACGGGTGTCACACGGGTGTCACACGGGTGTCACACGGGTGTCACACGGGTGTCACACGGGTGTCACACAGGTGTCACACAGGTGTCACACGGGTGTCACACGGGTGTCACACAGGTGTCACACAGGTGTCACACGGGTGTCACACGGGCGTCACACGGGTGTCACACAGGTGTCACACGGGTGTCACCCTGCTCCCAGGACCACGGGAACGTGTGGAAAGCTCAGCTCCCAAGGGACACTCAGCTCCAGCAGCCCTTCCACACCTGGAGCATCCCAGGAATTCCTGGGAATTCCCTGGCAGCTCTTCCCAGGCGTTTCATTTCGCTGCCATCATTAAGGGACAAGGAGGGGAATGTCAGAGCGGGACGGGTTTGGGGGATTTTGTGCGGATTGCAGGGACTCCCCTGCAGGAGGAATGGGCTCCCCAAGTGGGACCGTGTCCCCTCCCTCCCGAGATTTCCCACCGAACATTCCCGGCTCGCTGAGCGGGCTGGGATGGGCTCCAGCAGCGGCCACAAAGCTTTGGAGGGAGCTGGGGGTGAATCCTGCAGCCCCCACCCCACACCTGGAGCCACCCCGGGACAGCTCCCGGCCGCTCCCTTGGCAACATTCCCGGCAGATTCCCTCCCTCCGGAGAGGCTGCACAGCCCGAATTCCCAGATCCCCCTTTCCGGAGAGGCTGCACATCCCAAATTCCCACTTTCCTTCCTTCCACAGAGGCTGCACATCCCGAATTACCAGATTCCCCCTTTCCAGAGGGTTCCACATCCCGAATTCCCAGATTCCCTCCCTCCGGAGAGGCTGCACAGCCCGAATTCCCAGATTCCCCTTTCCGGAGAGGCTGCACATCCCGAATTCCCAGATTCCCCCTTTCCAGAGGGTTCCACATCCCAAATTCCCAGATCCCCCTTTCCAGAGGGTTCCACATCCCGAATTCCCAGATTCCCCCTTCCCGGAGGGTGTCCCACATCCTGAATTCCCAGATTCCCTCTCTCCAGAGTTTGTCCCACTTTTTGGGAGCAGATTCCCCCTTTCCAGAAGGTGTCCCATATCCCAGGACCAGATTCCCTCTCTCCACAGTGCCAGCACATTCCAAATTCCAAATTGTTGGGAAAAAAATTATCCAGAGAAAAAAAAAAAAGTTACTCCTATCACACAGGAATATCTCAGCTCCAATTAATTTTTCTCCTAATAATTAGCAGGACATTTCACTTTTGGGCATGGTAATAAAAAACTTCCAGACATTTGGAAGAACAAACAGAGTTTGGTGTTAAAAAACAAAACAAAACCCTTGAAAAGGAGGAGCTGGAACTTCCAATCTCCCCTCCCAGAGGTTTTATTCTCTTACAGCCAACAGGGACTAAAAGTTTGTTCTGGGAGTGGGAAAAATCTGATAAATGTTGGAAATAGAAAAGCCGTTTGCAAGGAGGAGATTTCTCCGAGGGCAGCAGAGCAAAGCTGATCATTATCAGTGAAAACCCAGGGAAAAAAGGACCTGGGATTAATTTAAATAAATTAACCAGCACAACTTCTGTGAAAAATCCAGGAAAAAGAGCACCTGAAATTATCTAAATGAATTAAATAGATAAACAGCATTCCAATGGTAAGAAAATAGAAAATATTGGTATTCAGGACCCCAAAATTCCCCTATTTTCACCCCAGAACAATTCCCCCATTCAGGTGCTGCCAGGTCAAGCCTTGTCCAGAAAAGTTTTGGCAGCAGCTCCTGGGAAAGGTCAGAGCTGTTGTCTGGGCTGTTGCAAGGTAAGTTTCCACTTTTTTTCCCTCTTTTTCTTTTTTTTTAAGAGATAAAAGACTTTTTAAAGGGATAAAAGAAGAAAATTGTTCCTTTTTCCTCTGTTAAAATCAGCTTTTCCCAGCAGCAATTCCAAACCACGGAGCACAAACTCTTGGAGATAATTAAACCCAATTAAAGGCGATGATTGACCACGAATGAGCTGCAATAAATGCAACAAGAGGCAGAGGAAAAAGAGATTTTTACTGCAAGAACTTTATTGCACCACGTTCAAGTGCTGAGCCAGGAGCCGAGCCTGGGGCACAGTGCCACCCCCAGCTCCTGGGGACACCGGGACAATCTGCGTTCCCCCTCTAATTAAGGCTGGATATGATAATTAGGACATCATCAATCAAGAGGGGAATTGGGGGAGCAGGGGGAAGAATGTGAAGTTATACAGGGAGCATTTAAAATTTGGTTTATTGTTCTTCAGGAGTTGCACCCAGTTCAGCACCCTCCCCTCCAACCTGACCTCCCGAATTTGTCAAATTGGTTTAAAAACCAGGATACCTTTGGCTAAAAATTCCATGTTTTCTTTGCAGAAAGGTCCATTTTTATTCACTGCTCCGGCTCCGAGGGTGGGAGGGGAAGGCAAAGAGCAGAATTGTGATTTCAGCACCACTTCCCTCCCTCCCCACCCCAAAAAAACCACTTCCAGATCTCCTGGATCCACGGAAAAATCGGAATATTCCGCAGGGAGGAGGGAATTCAGCACAACCTGGAGGCAGGGACAGCTGGGAGGGGTTGGGGAGCTCACCTGAGGGGCTTTGACAAGCACTGACATTTTCTGGTTCAATTTATAAAATCTCTGCCAAGGCTGGAATTCCTAAAAAAATCCATTTTCTGTCTTCTGGAAAGGCAGGAGTTTGGGAAAGGGAGAAATCCTGGGAAGGGAGGATGAGGAAGGGATGGGGACGAGGCCTCACCTGCTGCAGGTACAGCCCAAAAAATCCTAAATTTCAAAATGTCCTGAGGGAACAGGGCCCGAAACCTGGATCCAAACCCTTCCAAGGCTGGGTGTTATGGAAAAAAATAGGGATATTAGGGAAAAAATAGGGATATTATGGAAAATTACCCAGGAGAATTTGCTCAAGGTAAGCCCTGGGGCAGCCAAAATCAAAAATGAGTCTGGTAGGAGCGGCCTGGCCAAAATTGTTCCTAAAATCCTTCAATTCATTCCCCGGCTGCCCCACAAAAAGATCTCAAAAAACCCAAATTTTTAGGGTTTGCTGATGAAGGGTATCAGGATTTTGGGGTGGAATTGGGGATTCTCCCTCCCAAAAACCCCAATAAAAGAGAGGAAGGCAATCAGAGGTTCAGCTGAGAAAATTCCCCCTCACACCAAGTGAGGCCCTCCCTCAAAATCCCAATTTCCTGCACTCAGCAAGGTGGACCCAAACCCTTCCAAAGCTGGGTATTATGGAAAAAAAATACAGAAATTAGGGGAAAAATAGGGATATTATGGAAAAATATCCAGGAAAAGGTGCTCATGGTAACCCCTGGAGCAGCCAAAATCAAAAATGGGTCTGGTAGGAGCAGCCTGGCCAAAATTGTTCCTAAAATCCCTTCATTTATTCAATGGCAGCCCCAAAAACTCCAAATTTTTAGGGTTTGCTGATGAAGGGTATCAGGATTTTGGGGTGGAATTGGGGATTCTCCCTCCCAAAAACCCCAATAAAAGAGAGGAAGGCAATCAGAGGTTCAGCTGAGAAAATTCCCCCTCACACCAAGTGAGGCCCTCCCTCAAAATCCCAATTTCCTGCGCTCAGCAAGGCTGGGAATGTGGACAGCAGGGAAAAAAAATTAAAATAAAAAAGCCTTTTCCATCTTTCTGACAGAGAAATTAATTTTAAATCCTTGCCTGCATCGGCCCTCGCTCACCCAGGACACTTTGGAACATCAGTCTTGTGTGCCAGGATGGATTTTGTGTCTAAAATGAACATTTCAGCTGAATTCTTTGGGAAAAATCAGTGACACACACAGAGAATCACACAGCCCCTCCCAAAATCAGATTCACCACGGGGTTTAGGCAGTGAGGGTCCTGTTCAAGCCCCCCAGGAGTCAGAATTCCATGGAAAACACCCCCCAAAATCCCTGGGATGTGCCCAAAAAGGGGCTTAAGGCTGTCAGGCTGTTCCCAGCCAGCTCCTCCTCGTGTCCCTGCTTGAAAAACAACAAAAATTTTCCTTTTTTGAAGAGTTTAAAAAGGAATTCACATCTCAGGAATTCACATTCCTGGCTGGGGGTGCTTTCCTCACCTCGAGAAAATCCCTTCTGCACAAGGCAATGCTCTGCTGCTTTTCCTTAGACATAAAGTTGACTTTATTTCTTTTCTTAAAAAGTTAAAAATACAGAAGGTTCAGAAACTGCTTTTCTCCTTGCAGGTTTGCAGCTTAAGGAGAAAACAATCCTTCACTGAAATGTTTCTCTTAATTGGCTTTTTTTATTATTATTATTATATATTTTTCTAATTTTGGGGTTTTTTTCCTCTCAATCATCATCACCCTTTTTTTTTTAGGACAGAGGTTGAGGAGCACTGACTCCACCACTAATTTAATGACATTTTTTTCTTTTTTTTTTTGATTCCAGATTCACATTTCCAGGTGCCAAGAGTCCAGAGAAGAGCCCCCCGCTCACTTCTGCCTTCCTTTTGAGATCAATATTTTGGTTTTTGTGGTTTTTTATTGAACACAGCAGTGACCGTTGGCATCTTTGAAGCGTAATCTCATCTTGGGCCGGTATTTCTCCAGATAAAGCAGCTGTTTGGAATTGAAAGCTCCCCTCCTTTTCCTAAAATAAAACACAAGGAAGGTGGATATCAATGGAAAAAAAAAAAAATTATTTTGCTCACTTCGGGCAGATTAGTTTTAATTTTAATTAATTAATAATAATTTTATAGTTAATAACATTCAAAATATATTAAATAATAAATTAGCTATATTACATTAATATACTATACATTGATATAATATATAATTATATATATTAATATATCATATATAATATAATATATAATTATATATTAATGCATTATATAATTATATTAAATAATTATATAATTTTTTAAATTTTTACATGAGTTTTTCAGCCCTAAAAAAGCAGAATTTTGGTGGGTGTTTGTGTTCCCCCCCGGGGAGGATAAACCACAATATTTCAGGGGAATATTCTGATTAAATTCCAGCTTTTTTCTTGTTGTTGTTTTCACGGAGTGGGAGATTTTATTTCCGTGCTTGGAACAATAAAAAGAACAACATCAAGGTCACCCTCCCCAGGTGCTGATCAGCTCAAAGACACAAAGAGATAAGAGGGGCCCACAAAAAGCATTAAAAAAAAAGGAATTTCAAATAACCTGGAGCCCTGGGAAGCCCCAAAAAGCTGGAATTGCTTCCCTGAGCACAAATCTCACCTGCTGGGCTGCACTCGAGGGGTTCTGGCACTGAATTTATCCTGCCCTGGGTTATTCTGAGCAGGGAAGGAGCCCCAAAATTCCCCTGGGAAGAGCTGAGCTCCTCCATTTGTTGGCTCAGCCTCAGCAGGATTTTAATTTTTATTACTTTTTAAAATTATTTTTAATTATTACTAATTTTTATTCTTTTTTTTAAAATTAAAAGTAATTTTTACAGCCCTGGCCTTGATGTTTTTTCCTCACAAAAATCAGAATATCTGAGGCTTTACTTTACATTTAAAGGCAGATTTTAAGGGATCACCTGTTAATCCTCATTAATTAACAGCAATTTTGTACTTCCACCTTGATACTTTTACCTCACAAAAATCAAATTGTTTTAATATTTTCTTCACATATAAACCCAAGATCACCTGTTACTCCTTACTTGAATTATAATCAATTTTTATAGTCCATCCTTGACACTTCCAACTCACAAATTCAAAATATTTGAGCTTTTCTTCATATTTAAAAGACAGATCACCTGTTAATCCTCATTAATGAGCAATAATTAATTATAGTCCCATTCTAGACACTTTTACCTCACAAAAATCAAATTGTTTTAATATTTTCTTCACATATAAACCCAAGATCACCTGTTACTCCTTACTTGAATTATAATCAATTTTTATAGTCCATCCTTGACACTTCCAACTCACAAATTCAAAATATTTGAGCTTTTCTTCATATTAAAAAGACAGATCACCTGTTAATCCTCATTAATGAGCAATAATTAATTATAGTCCCATTCTAGACACTTTTACCTCACAAATTCAAAATATTTGAGCTTTTCTTCACATTTAAACCCATATTTTAAAGAGAGATCACGTGTTAATTCTCATTAATTAACAGCAATTTTTAGTCTCATCCTTGATACTTTTACCTCACAATTTTTGATATTTTTGATATTTTCTTCATATAAACCCAAGATCACCTGTTACTCCTCTTTAATTAGAATCAATTTTTATAGTCCATCCTTGACACTTCCAACTCACAAATTCAAAATATTTGAGCTTTTCTTCATATTTAAAAGACAGATCACCTGTTAATCCTTACTAATGAGCAGCAATAATTAATTATAGTCCCATTCTAGACACTTTTACCTCACAAATTCAAAATATTTGAGCTTTTCTTCATATTTAAAAGACAGATCACCTGTTAATCCTTACTAATGAGCAGCAATAATTAATTATAGTCCCATTCTAGACACTTTTACCTCACAAATTCAAAATATTTGAGCTTTTTCTTCCCATTTAAACCCATATTTTAATGAGATATTATTTATTTTAGGATAAAACACTTTTACAAAACCCAAATCTTTTCCTTAACAGGCTCAGGCAGGTCAAAACCCACAGAATAAAAGATTCCTGAGGGGGAAAAAAAAGTGAATTTTCACTTACTGCCTTATAAACTGAACTGCATCCTCATACTTCATTCCACATTCAATGAGAGCAAGTGCGACCAGAACGGGAGCCCTGCAGGAAAAATCAATGTTTAAGGAAGATCCACAGAAATAAGAAAAGGAATCCTTCAAAATGAATCTGATTTTTCTCCCCAACAAGCAGCTGAAGGGTTTTTTCCTTTCAGCATTTCCCACAGAAAGGTGTTTTGCCCGATGTAAAATGAGTTTTTGTGGAAGGGATTCTGCTTGCAGAGGAAATAAAAATCAATGGCAGCTCTTTAGTGGTTGGGGTAGGAGAATAATTCTGGGTTTTTATCTCACTTTAACCTCATTTTCTGGTTTTTGACATCTCCTGGATGCGTTTGAGTGTGGATTGAGCTGTGCAGACACTGAGCTTTAGAGATATTTATATTTTCTTTATTTTTTAAGTAATTCTGTCAAGGAGCAGGGAGAAGCAGAATTTTCTGCTTTGGGATTTTCATTTCAGAAGTCAGTTAAGGGGAAAAAAAATGGGTTTTTAACACCCAGGAACCCCAAAATACATTGAATTTTCTCCACCCCCCAGAGCAGCAGGCAGCTCCAAGGGGGGTGCAAACAAGAATGAAAGAGGGGCCAATTCCTGGGGCTAAAATGGGAAAATTCAGGAGGAAAAAGTCCCAGTGCCACCCTGCACCAGTGCAGCTCCTCATCCTCCAGGGGGATTTGTCATTGGCATTGGCATTTGTCATGTCACACTTCTGAATCACGGAATTCCTGACCGGCACAAGTGTCCTCCAAGGCTTGTGATCAACGACGAAATTAATCAATTAATTAATATATTGTATGAATGTAATCCATTGTATGCACATAGTAATTCATGAATAATATAATAATTAATTTTTAAAGCTGCATTGAGTCCCTGCTGCTTTCATGACACAAATTTGATGCTGGTTGAAGTTATTTGGGAGGAAACAGAAACTGGGGGTTCGTGAGTGCCTTCCTGCCAAATAAATGAAGTTTATTGTTATATTCATTATTTCATGTAATTAAATAATTAGCTGGTCTATTATTGTTTTAATTTATTAATATAAAAGATTAACAACATACTAATTTAGTATTTAAATTTATTATTGATGATAATATAGTTCATTTACTATTATATTAATGATATTATTTTATTAATATAAAAGCGTTAATAATTATATTTACTATTTAGATTTATTGTTTAATAGAATGAAATAATTTGTTGATTTACTATCAACAAATAATTTACATTAATTTGTGATTAATTTAATAATTAATTTACATTAATTTATGAATGTAAAATTGCTTATTGTTTAATAGAATGAAATAATTAGTTGATTTACTATCAACAAATAATTAATTTACATTAACTTGTGATTAATTTAATAATTAATTTACATTAATTTATGAATGTAAAATTGTTAATAGTATTAATTTAGTATTAAATTTACTGTTTAATATAATTAAATAATTAATAAATTCGATAGTAATTATATTTATTACATTAATTTATTAATATAAAATAGTTAATAATTATATTAATTTAGTATTTAAATTTATTACTTAATATAATGAAATAAGAGTAGACAAAAATAATAATAATTAATGTAAATTATAATAATAGTAATAATGATAATAGTAACAATAATAATAGTGATGATGATGACAATGATTATGATAATGTAATGATGATGATGATGATGATGATGATGATGTAATGATGATAATGATGATGAATGATAATAGTAACAATAATAGTGATGATAATGATGATGATGATGTAATGATGATAATGATGATGTAATGATGATGTAATGATGATGTAATGGTGATGTAATGATGATGATAACGATAATAATGATGATGATGATGATGTAATGATGATAATGATGATGATAATTATGATAATTATGATAATGATAATAACAATGATAACGATAATAATGATGATGGTAATGCTGATGCAATGCTGATGCGATGCTGATGCGATGATGATGCGATGATGATGTGATGATGATGTGATGATAATGGCGATGATGTGATGATGATAATGATGTGATGATGATAATAATTGATAATGATAATAACGATAATGATAATAATAATGATAATAATATTAATAATAATACTATTACTAATACTATTAATATTAATAATATTAATAATAATGTTAACAATAATGTTAATAATAATAATGTTAATAATAATGTTAATGTTAATAATAATGTTAATGATAATAATGTTAATAATGTTAATAATGTTAATAATAATAATGTTAATAATAATGTTAATGTTAATAATAATGTTAATGATAATAATGTTAATAATGTTAATAATGTTAATAATAATAATGTTAATAACAATAATGTTAATAACAATAACAATAATAATAATAATAATAACAACAATTTCTTTAAGCCATTGCAGCACGCACCTGCCCAGCCCAGCCACGCAGTGCACAGCCACGCAGCAGCCGGGCTCCTCGCGGAACTTGGCTCTCAGCAGGTTCAGCCAGTCCTCCACGATCTGCCCCGGGGGCGGAGCTCCGTCATCGAAGGGCCAGTCCTGGGGGGAAACACCTTTAACGCCGTGCCCAGCAACCCTGCCCTCACCCGAAACAAGCACCACAGACACAGTTCTGGGCTTTGCAGATCCACGGAACGCAACGTTACATGTTTAACGAGCATCGGATGGCACTTGGCAGCAGCTCCTCTGCAATAACGGGGTTTGTTAGAGAAATCCTGCCCTTGAAATGCCATTTTATTAAAAATAGATGTGAAAATCAATAGGTGTTTTCAGATAAGCAGAGAGAGAACTCTGCAGAGCTCTGCTGGTGGCTGTGGCACCATTGGAAATCACGTTTGGGCTTCAGGCTCTGAGGGGGTGAAGCTGCTCCCAAAAATTCCCAATTCCAGAGGAGCAGCTGCTCCCAAAAATTCCCAATTCCAGAGAAGCAGCTGCTCCCAAAAATTCCCAATTCCAGAGGAGCAGCTGCTCCCAAAAATTCCCAATTCCAGAGGAGCAGCTCCTCCAGCTGCCCCCAAAAATTTCCAATTCCAGAGGAGCAGTTCTTCCAGCTGCTCCCAAAAATTCCAAATTCCAGAGGAGCAGCTGGAGGAGCTGCTCCCAAAAATTCCCAATTCCAGAGGAGCAGCTCCTCCAGCTGCCAGGAATTCAGGGAGTTCCCAATGCCCTGGGTGTTTTCAATTTGAAACAAAAACCCCACAAAAACCCCACTTTTATGAGCAGAAAGGTGCTCAGATAATGGCAGAAATTCACATTTTTTGCTGTTGAAGGGGTAGCCACCATTAAATCCAGGCTATATCAAAATCAATAATATCTAAATCAAAACAAAATCAATAAAAATATCAATAATCACAAATGGATCTTTCTGCCATGGAAGCAGCTTTCCATTTTTCCTCACACAACCCATCTGGAATTTGTGCTCCACACCTTTCAGGCCCAAGCACATCCCACAGTTTATCATTTTCTTGGACGTGGAGAAAGGATGTTAAGGGAGAAAATAGTATTTAGTGGTTATTTAGCACTTTTCTTTAGATGATTTTGATGTATTTTAGCAGCAAAACTCATGGCAGGGTCCTGGATTATTCCACAACTTTGAAAATAGAAGGAAATTGCTTTAAAAAGAGCTCTCTCCCCTCATCAGGACTAAAAAAATCCCTTTTCTGGAGCACTTTAAGAGCAGGTTCTGGTAACTAATATCCTCTGAAAGCTGCAGAGCAGCAGAGTTCTCATTCTGAGATGCACTCAGCACTTCCTGGGGAGCAAACACAGCTCAGAAATGTGGGAGTTCAGTCAAAAAATAACCCCAAAAATACTGAAATCATTTGGTATGGGGTTAATTCACCCAGCCTGAAGAGTGCAGAGAAATCCTTTGTTGAAGTACTTGGAAAATTAAAAATATCTGGGACAACACAGCAAAGGGAAAGGCCACAGGAATAAGCTCGAGTCAAGATTTGTTCTTTCTAATAAAAGGTTTTTTATGGGATTTTCCACTCAACCCCACAGTGCTGCCTGGGTTATTTTAGGTTTGTGGCACCCCCTGTCCCAGGAAGAGAGGCACAGACAGCAGGATGCTGCTTCTGAGAGAGGATTTTCTGTCTTTAATTGAAATGAAACCTTTTCCTTGGTATCCACACAGCTCCTGGGCTGGCCTGGATCAATCCCAGTGCTGATAAAACACAGGGACAAAATAATTCTGGCATCAGGGATGGAGCTGCAGCGAAGTTTTGCAGGAATTTTTTCCTTGTTCTGAGCTCTGGGTTCCTTTTGGACAGGAAAAAAAGCAAATTCTGAGGTGCACAATGAAAGCAGTGATTAAAAACCAGGATTGCACAAAGTGGGAGAGACAGGAAAGGGATTTATTATTTTTTCCCTTTTTTTTTTAATTGGAATAGCACAACAGCTCCAGGAATGGCAACCCAGGTGGTGAAGTGACAGAACTTTGAGGTGATAAAGAACTTTTTCTTCAAAAATACTGGAATTAGGAGCTCCCAGAGCTGCCTGGATGTGAGCAGGGTGAGCCCACAGCTTCCACTTCCATCCTGGAATTCAAGGAATTCCAAGCAAGGAATTCCCACCTCGCTGTGCCATCCTCGTGGTGGCTCTTGGGGGGCACAGAGGGTAAAAAAATCTGATCCAATAAATCAAGGAGTGAGAGAAAGACAACAAGGAAATATCCCCTGGATCCTGAAGATGAACAAAGCCACCTCTGGAAGCCAAAAATCCTCTCAGGAAAAAAAAAAATTAAAATGAACAAAGCCACCACAGCCCCTCTGGAAGCCAAAAAGTGCCAAAAATCCTCTCAGGAAAAAAAAAATTAAAATGAACAAAGCCACCACAGCCCCTCTGGAAGCCAAAAAGTGCCAAAAATCCTCTCAGAAAAAAACCAAAAAACCTTCTGGCTTTCCTGATTTTGTGTTCCTGAGGTGTAGCAGCCCACAGGAATTAAATCCATGCCAGCTCCTGGAGCCCATCCCTGCAGGGAATTGCAGCCCAGCCCCAGGAACAGCTCATTCCCTGTTTTCTCCCTCTGCCATCTGGAAAAAAAGCTCTGGAGCCACCACATTTTACCCGTGAGCCACCCCCAGGTTTGCCAAAACATTTCCATTTCCAGGGCTTTCACCACAATGTTGACCTCAGCAGTGCTAAACCAGACATTAAATGGTGCTAAAAGAGGCACTCATGTTGCCCCAGGCTGTGTTTTTAATGTGGAATGTTATTTTTCACAGGCAAATATTAGCCTGAAATCGCGAGGTGTTATTTTCTCAGCTGGGGGTTACTCAATCCCATTTCAGAGCAGCAAGAGGACTCTGCCTGGAAAATAAAAAGCAGGAATTCATGGGGAAGAGGAGCTGGATTTATCTCCCTCCTGGAGCAGTGTCCTGAGGCTCTTTAGGCTGAGGGAAATATCTCCAAAAAGGAGATTCTGCTCCAGGTGAGAGGCTCCACACCAGGGCAGAGCTGCAGCAAACCCCATTTCCAGTTTGGGGTTTTTTTTAAGCAAAGCTTCCTCAAAGAGCAGCTTTCAGTTCAAAATTGAGGTTTTAAGGCTTCCTGAGAAGCCAAAAACCTTAATTATTTTAGAAACACCAACTCCAGGGCACTGCCCAGGCCTGGAGAAGGTGGGAATTCCATCCCAGAGCTGCCCTGGGAGGAATCTCCCCTCTGGGACAGGAATCCTCTGCCGAGCCCCAGCTCAGGGCCCAGAGGGATTGCACAGCACAAATTTAATTTCATTTAATCCTCCCAGCCTCTGGCAGCCTGGGGAGTGTCCCAGTGTCCAAAAACACCTCCAGACAGCTCTGGAAGGAGGAAAAACACAATTCCAGAGGGCAGCCCTGCAAGGAGGGGCTTTTCCAACCACACCAAGGCCCACGTGGCTGCCTGCAGCTGGAGTGAAAGCTCTGCAGGGCTGGGAGCCAGGAAACCCGGCTGACCTGCACCTGGAATTTTCACTGCCATGCCACAACAAAATCTTCTTATCCTCATGGAAAACTGCAGGAGTTGGCCATGGTTTTGGGGTTTATTTTCTGCATGGAAAACTGCAGGAGCTTTCCTGTGGAAGCCAAGAAACCTGACTGACCTGCACATGGAATTTTCACTGATATGTGTGGGTAAATTTCTCTTTTCCTCATGGAAAACTGCAGGAGCTTTCCTGTGGAAGCCAAGAAACCTGACTGACCTGCATGTGGAATTTGATATTCCAGGATAATTTTTTTTTCCTCCATGGAACAAGAATTTTTTCTCCTCATGGAAAACTGCAGGAAAATGCAGTGGAAGGTTTCTTGTGGAAGCCAAGAAACCTGACTGACCTGCATGTGGAATTTGATATTCCAGGATAATTTTTTTTTTTTCTCCATGGAAAAAGAATTTTTTCTCCTCATGGAAAACTTCAGGAAAATGCAGTGGAAGGTTTCTTGTGGAAGCCAAGAAACCTGACTGACCTGCATGTGGAATTTGATATTCCAGGATAATTTTTTTTTTTTCTCCATGGAAAAAGAATTTTTTCTCCTCATGGAAAACTGCATTTTTCTATGGAAGCCAAGAAACCTGACGGACCTGCATGTGGAATTTTCATTGATAATGCCACAATAATTTTTTTCTCCTCATGGAAAACTGCATTTTTCTATGGAAGCCAAGAAACCTGACGGACCTGCATGTGGAATTTTCATTGATAATGCCACAATAATTTTTTTCTCCTCATGGAAAACTGCAGGAGTTTTCCTGAGCCTGAGCCACAAAAATCCAGAGCACTGCAGGAAGGTCGAGGTGCAATTTCTCCCCTCACAACACTGGGGTGTTATTACTCACTCCAGCAAAATAAACTGATTTTATCAGGCACACTCTAATAATTCCCAAGCATTGCCTGGAAAAACACTGCCTGGAAGCTCGGGGTGAGCACACACCTCTTAAAAAAACCTCCCCGAGTCAGTGAGACAGCATTGCACAATGGCAGCTGGGAGTGAGCAGGGCAGGAATTCCCCCTGCTGGGCTCCTGCAGGTCAGGAGGGGATTTTGGGAGGAATTCTTCCCTCTGAGGATGAGGAGGGGCTGGGATGGATTTCCCAGGAATTTGTGGCTGCCCCAGGAGTGTCCAAGGCCAGGCTGGAGTGTGCTGGATAGTGGGAGTGTCCCCTGGCCATGGTGTGGATGAGTTTTTAAGGATTCCAACCCAAAATATTCCAGAATTTCGTGGCTCTCTCCTGCCACAGGAATTTGTGGCAATTTGTCACCCACAGGCTCAAAAGTGGCACTTTCTGTAAGAGCAAGGAGAGGGAATTTTATCCACATGCTGAGAAAACCAACAGCAAAGCCAAAAAATGCTGTGGCCACAGGCAAGGACCAAACCAGGCTTCAACCACAGGGCTGAGCATCAGATATTACCAAAATAATCACCAAAAACCAAACAAAATATCTCCACAAATCCAAAACCACCCAAAAATCCAGTCAGTTTCTCAAACCCACCTTTACCTGGTGCTAAATTTTTTTGGCCAAGCTGGACCATCCCCAAGCACTGAAGAGATTCCCCACAAGTTCTAGAGGTGAAAATTCAGATTTTTAGCCAGTTTTAAAGGCAACTCACTAGAACTTGGATTCCTTCTTTCTCGATTGGAGCTTGGTCATAAGTGGCATCACAAACTCGCACCAAGGTTGTCACCCCATACTTCTTCAGCTCCTTGAAGGGAAAGGAAAACACCTGAGCACTGATGAATGAGAAATCTCCTTTTATCAGCTATAAAATTCGACATTTTCCACATTTTCAGGGCATCAAAGTGACTGCCCATGGAAGGAGGAAGGGATAAAATTTGTGGGGAAATTCACAAGCGACGGAAAAAATGAGAGAGGTGGGGAAACATTGCAATTCTAAGAGTAAAATTGCAATTATAAGGGTATGAAAATAGCTGTTTAAATGCTCCAGGCAGCTTCTCCTCTTTAAATAGAAGCAGGGAGTGTTTGCTTCGGGCAGTGTTGACATTTGGAGCAGGGAGGAGCAGAACACACACCCAGCACACTCCAGCTTCCAGCCATGCTCTAAAAGCAGCACTCGGTGCCGGATAAAGAACAGAGGATCAAACAAAAGCTGCTCCAGTCCACGCTGAAGGCTCAAAAACCAGAATTTCCTCCTGAATGACACCTCAAAATTAGCAGGAATATCCATTGTGTGAGTGCTGAAAAAAGAAAATGCTCAAGAACTGGGTGTTAGAATCCTAAATGCTGAGAATTTGAAATTTTTTGTGTTTAAGGCACAGACCCTCAGGAGAACACTGCATTTGACCTAAAGTCATAGAACAAACTTCTAAAATTCATTGATAGCACCAAGGTTACAAGCGTGTAGTTAGTTAAAAGTGTGTAATATCACAAAGTAAAAAAGTAAAGATTTTAGAATGTAAAAATTAATATGAAGCAAAATAGAAGTTTGAAGGTAGAAACAAGTTGTTCTTCTTTACCTTCTTCCTTCTTCACAGATTTCAGTGGTGTTTTGTAATTAGACAAAAAATCCACATTACAAGCTTCAAAAGATCAATTATTGAGTTAAAAGAAAAAATAATCTAAGTATCCTTTCTTAATTAGTTTAGTCTTAAAAAACCTTACCACAAAAGACAGTTAACCATTTTGTACCTTACTAATAAAAAACTACCAAACTCACAATGATAAAACTATTTCACTAATAAGAAATAATAAACACCTAAATCCAAACATAAACTACCATCTCAAATACCTTCAATCCTAACAAAAAAATAATAACTCATCCTGTTAAAAATAAATAACATAAAAATTATATCCAAAAAAACAATAACATAAATTGAGTTTGTATTTCATTTTCTGAGGGAGGGGAAAGCTCAGCTCCAACTCTTAACTCAGCAGCTGAGCAATGGCTGATTCATTTATTAAAAAAAGTGAATTACTTCATGAAAAAGAACATTAAGAGTCACAAAATCAAAATATTTTTCCAATGGGATGGTTTGGGTGGGGAGGGAACTCAAAGCCCTCCCAGTTCCACTGCTCTGGTTGGGGACATTTCCTCTGGGAATTCCATCCCAGGCAGGAATTCCCTGGAGTTTTAACCTGAATTTCCCATTTTTCTGTTTGAAGCCGTTATTTTGTCCAAGGATGCTTTGATGGAAAGGGGGATGTGTTTGTATCCTAAAACTGAAGTTCATGCAAGCAAAGCCCAAAAAACCCACCAGTGAATTGTGTCCTGATACTGTGAGGAGAATGTGAATTAAAAAAGACAAAAAAAACTTAAATTTCCTTCCAGAGGTGAGGAAGGACTGGTCAGCAAATTCCTGGCCAGGAATTTTGAGGGATTTGGGATTTTTTGTAATCCATTATTCCTGTCCAAGGAGTAAATCCTTGATGGAAGGGAGGAGTCTTGGTATCCCAAAACTGAAGTTCATCCAGGCCAAGAAATGCAGGAATTCACAAAAAAAACCAAAAACAAACCACCAGTGAATTGTCTCCTGATACTGTGAGGAGAATGTGAATTAAAAAAGACAAAAAAACCTTAAATTTCCTTCCAGAGGTGAGGAAGGACCGGTCAGCAAATTCCTGGCCAGGAGTTTTGAGGGATTTGGGATTTCCCAAAACTGAAGCTCAACCTAGACAAGAAACGAAGGAAGTAACAAAAAAAACAAACAAAAAAAAAAAACCCACCAGTGAATTGTCTCCTGATACTGTGAGGAGGATGTGAATTAAAAAAGACAAAAAAACCTTAAATTTCCTTCCAGAGGTGAGGAAGGACCAGTCAGCAAATTCCTGGCCAGGAGTTTTGAGGGATTTGGGATTTCTTTGGGCTCCTTACCTCGATGAACTTGCTGAGGGTTGCATTGGTTGGGTTGTGAGTGATCAGGAAACGCAGATTCTCATAAGTAATTTCCACGGGGGCTGGACGGTTCATAATGGCAAAGAAAATGTGTGAGGGGCCAAAAAAAAAATCAATGACCTTGGAAACGTTTCACAGCAGAAAACATCAAAAAGACCACTAATATGGCTGGGATTGATCAGAGCTTGCTTTGACGGGTTTGTTCCTCGGGGATTTTGCTCCTAGAAGAAGCAGCTTTGCTTCCAAATCCTCAATGCTGGCGGGGTGGTTTCCTTGAGACTCGCGGAAGTGCCAGGCGGGGCAGCCTGTCCTACATGGAGGCACTGGTGCGGTGAGGCAGGGCTGGGCCGGAGGCAGGGACAGCGGGGCTCCGGGCCAGCAGCAGTCCCATAAATCCCGGCCGGGCGCTGCCTGCCGGGGCCCCGAGGGCAGGACGGGAACGGGCACGCTCGGCACGGAGCTCACTTGGCAGCCAGGCTGCGGTGCTGCGCCTGGCAGAAGTCTGCCCTGACGCTCAGAATCGCCATAAATGTGCCCAGGAGCCTCCGACAGAACACCTGGAGAGGGGAAAACAGCGGGAGAGTGTCGGTGGTTGTGTTCCTGCAGTGACACCCACCCAGAGAAACTCTGCTGGAAATGGCCATAATAAATACATACCTGAAACACATAGGTCATAAATATACGTAGTAATGCTATATACTTATTTATATAAATATATATATTTATATACATATATTTTTATAAATATATATATGTACCCACCCAGAGAAACTCTGCTGGAAATAGTCATAATAAATACATACGTGAAACACATCGATCACAAATATACGCAGTAATTCTATATATTTATATAAATATATATATTATATATATATATCTATGTATATAAATATATATTTATGTATATAAATATATATATTTATATAAAACTTAATGCGTATAAATAAATAAAAGTAGAAAATAGAAATATAATAACTAAAAGAAATAAAAATAAAATATTTAAATAAAATCAATATATAAATAAATAAAATAAATCAAAGTCCTGATAGGCCTAATCATAAATATTGTGAATAAACTGAAATTAAAAGAATCATTAAAAAAACCCCAAAGAAATCAAAGTCCTGATAGGCCTAATCATAAATATTGTGAATAAACTGAAATTAAAAGAATCATTAAAAAAACCCCAAAGAAATCAAAGTCCTGATAGGCCTAATCATAAATATTGTGAATAAACTGAAATTAAAAGAATCATTAAAAAAACCCCAAAGAAATCAAAGTCCTGACAGGCCTAACCCTAAATATTGTGAATAAACTGAAATCACAATAACCATCACAAAAACCCCACACAAATCCCAGTCCTGACAGATACCCCTAAGCACTGTGAACATTCCCTGGGATGTGCTGCCATCGCTGCCCCGGCGGCAGCCGGAACCCGGAATTCTGTGTTCCAGCCCAGCGAGGGGTCCTGGAGCAGCAGAGCCCAGCACACCCTGGAAAAGCCACGGGCACGGCCGAATTACAATAATCATCACAAAAACCCCACAGAAATCCCAGTCCTGACAGATACCCCTAAACACTGTGAACATTCCCTGGGATGTGCTGCCATCGCTGCCCCGGCGGCAGCCGGAACCCGGAATTCTGTGTTCCAGCCAAAACCCCAAAGAAGTCAAAGTCCTGACAGGCCTAACCCTAAATACTGTGAATAAACTGAAATTAGGAGAATCATTACAAAAACCCCACACAAATCCCAGTCCTGACAGATAACCCTACATATTGTGACTATTCCCTGGGATGTGCTGCCATCGCTGCCCCGGCGGCAGCCGGAACCCGGAATTCTGTGTTCCAGCCCAGCACAGAGCCCAGCACACCCTGCAAATGCCACGGGCACGGCCCCACCTGCCTGGATTCATCCCAAATACATCAAAACCAGCACTGCCCTGCCTCTATTTTCTGCACAAAACCAGCAGCAGCAGTAAGGGTATCATAAATAAAATAAAATAATATCATCAATTTTTCATGTATTTCAGCTCCTGCTGGCAGATAAATTTCACCCAACTGGAAATATCCCCCAGGAATGTATCACAGTGATGGCCAAATGGTCATTTAGCAGGAGTAAGGGTATAATAAATAAAATAATATAATATCATCCATTTTTCATGTATTTCAGCTCCTGCTGGCAGATAAATTTCACCCAACTGGAAATATCCCCCAGGAATGTATCACAGTGATGGCCAAATGGTCATTTAGCAGCAATAACTTTTAGTTATTCTCAATTATTTCACTTATAACCATAATAACTTTGGGTTATTCGCTGCCTTATCTCTATTTACAGACCTGGCCTTTAAAGGCAGCCACAGCTCTCAGTGTGAAGAGGCAAAATTCAAAATACAAAATTCCAGCAATAAAGGATGGAACAAAGCCATGAAATTTAGGGGGATTGAAAGGAGAGTTATCCCAAAGTACCTCAAATCAGGACTGAAATATTAAATTATCAACGTGGTTTTTCAGTGCTTTTCAAAATAATGAAGCCAAGGAATTGCTGCTGATGGAGAAATTCTATTTTTTTGGGGGGGAAAAGGCTGAAATCAGATGGATAAAATCCCAGCCTGCAGGCAGAAATCACAAAGCCACCAGTGGAGCGGGAAGGTGAAGGTGGCACACCTGAGGGAGGGTAATTAGGGATTAATTAGCTCCCCCCATGGAGCTCCCAGGAGTGCCCAGTGTTAATGAGAGCATTGATTAAACACCACCAAATCATCTTTTCCAGCGCCATCGAGTCAAAAATCACCCAAAGAACAGCAATGATTCCCTCCAAGTGCAGCTTTCGGTGCCAAAATTGATATTAATTAGCTTGCCAGAAGAAGGGAAGAGCTGCTCTGATCACCTGCCCCAGCTCCGAGGGACTGGAAGAGGAATTCCCACCAGGAATCCTGGAAGGTTTCACCCACAGGATGGAAGAATCCCCTCCAAACACACCAGACTCAAACACTCACGTTTATCAATTCACTCTCTCACAGATCAAGAGGTGAAAGCCCAATTAGACCCTAATTAAGGATAACAAAAAATGTTTTTATAAATAATTGAATGGCAAAATGAGGAGACAGGAGAACGTCCATTCCCAGATTTTCTCCCCAGCAGATTTGGTTGGAAAAGCCTCATCCAGAGGTATTTTTGCCCTGGAAGTTGTAACAAATCAGGGTCATTTTGGAATCAAAGAGGGAATTTCACCCCAATTATTTTAAAAGGCAGTTGTACAAACAATTTGCCAAGTGATTAAGAAGTGGAATATTTCATTTCCACGTGTGCTGAGAGTGGCAAGGAGTCACCAGCTCCTCTGCAAAGCAGGAGTGACACCAGCTCCCCGTCCCAAAGGAATATTCCTGAAGCATTTAATTAGCTCCTCTCTCAGAAGTGATTAAAAATGTGGTTTTAATAAAACACTGTATTTAAGCCTGAAAAATGTTATTTCCAGCAGGATAAGGAGTTGATGTAGCACACAAGGCTAATTTTAAAAGTTTGGGTTGCTGACAGATCTTGAGTTTAAAAAGAAAAATCAGGCTTCTAATTAAGAAAATTAAAACTTTTTGTCTGCAACTTCTGATTTTCCCAAGTAAATATTTAAAAAATTCTCCCTCCCTGTGTTACCAAGTAAATTTGCACTTCAAAACCCCAGGAGAACCAATGAGAATAAATTGTAACCAGGCCTGTGGACAGCAGCAAACAAGGAATGGTTCTTCAGCCAATTAACCTTCTGATTTTCTAGTCAGAAAGTGAGATAAGGCATGGAGAGGAACCAAAAAACGACAGAGGCTGGGCTGGAAAAGGGAGCAGCAGCATCCCAAGGAAAAGCAGAGATCCAGCAGGGAATGAACATCCCTGGAGCTGCAGGATGTGCCTGGGAGGCAGCTCCTGGGGGTGCCATCGGGGAATTCTGATCAACCCGGGGGTTTTCTGATCAACCCAGGTGCCAGCTGATCAATCCAGGTGCCAGCTGATCAATCCAGGTGCCAGCTGATCAATTCCAGGTGTTTTCTGATCAATTCCAGGTGCCCCCTGATCAATTCCAGGTGTTTTCTGATTAATACAAGTGTTTTCTGATCAATTCCAGCTGTTTTCTGATCAATCCCAGGTGCCCCCCGTGCAGGTGGGAAGGATTTTGGGATGTTTTAGCTGGACACACACTCAGATCCCACCAGGATTGCCTCCCCTCACTCCCAGCCTGATCCGAGGTAAATTTGAGAGGAATTTCTCAAAAGAAGCTGAAAACCTCTGGGAAGGGCAGGCCATAACCAGCATAAATTAATGAAGTGATCAGGAGGGAAATGAATTCCTGCTTTGACAGGAGCTGGAGATGGCTGGCAGTGAAACCCCAAACACCCCAATGTCCAGGTCAGGATTCCTCACAGTGAGATTCCAGCAGCCCGGGGGAAAGGCAAAGCAGGGAATGCCACCGTGAGGAATTCCCAGCTCCACAGAAAGGAGGGAGAGGGAGAGTAAGCTGAAAACCTCTGGGAAGGGCAGGCAACAACCAGCATAAATTAATGAAGGTACCAAGTGATCAGGAGGGAAATGAATTCCTGCTTTGACAGGAGCTGGAGATGGCTGGCAGTGAAACCCCAAACACCCCAATGTCCAGGTCAGGATTCCTCACAGTGAGATTCCAGCAGCCCGGGGGAAAGGCAAAGCAGGGAATGCCACCGTGAGGAATTCCCAGCTCCACAGAAAGGAGGGAGAGGGAGAGGAGCAGCCCAGAAGAGCTGCAGCCTGCAGGGATGGCAGAACAGGATCCCCCTGCAAAGGTCACTGGGATCCCCTTTCCAGCGCCCCGGGCACAGGATGCACAGCACTCCTGCTAATTTGTTACTCAGAATTAATTAAAAGGATCCTGGGGAAGGCCTGCAGCAAACCCAGATCGTTTTGTTCCTCTAAGGGAGGATCCACGTTGAATTCACGAGCTGCTGGATTTGCCTTTTCTGGGAAATCCCTGGAATTGCCACACCATGAATGGATCCCATCACATTTCCACCCTGCCTGAGGAGTTTGGCTCTTCCTGCCACTCTGCCCATGCCAGGTTTTACTCCCCCTTCCTGAAAATTCCCCTCTCTATCCCAACACTGCCAAAATATTTCACCTGTGACATTTTCCACGTGAAAGAAGTCAGAGACCCCCAAAACCCACAGATCCACCACAACCAAAAAAAAAAATAAATCTTTTCTAACCCGTCCTCTCGAGGAGAAAAACCCTGGAATTAAACGGTTCTGGATGAACTCCTGGCTGAAGGAAGCTTGCTCAGACTGACACGTGCCTGGAGAGGGGTGAGGTCCAAAAATGTCACTGTTCCACCCTGTCCACCCCCGCGGGCGCTGCAGCTCCCTCCCAGTCCCTCCCAGTTCCTCCCAGTCCCTCCCAGTCCGGGCTGACTCACTCGTTTCCTCTGCACAGCAGATACGGATCTGCCCGAGCAGGAACAAGAAACCCTGAAAGGAGCCTCGAGTGGCGAGTGACACGTCAGGAAATGGTGACAATTGTCACCTGCCCAGGGGAGGACAGGCCTGAGGCAAAGCTCACCAAGCTGGCTGCCATCCCTGCACAGGAACAAATCACCCTGGCAACATCTGGAAGCAGCTGGACACTGCCATGGTTCTTCCAGGAGAGTGCTTCACCCTCTTCCCTGTTAATGCTGCTCTCACTCTGGGGTTATTCTTAAAAAAAAACACCTTCCCCACCCATCACTGAAGTTTTTAAAGGATGTGTTTGAATGGTATTTGCATTCCATGCCCAAAAAGTTGAAAGTTGTTAAAAGTGTTTGAAGTCAAAGTTGTTAAAGTGTTTGAAGTCAAAAGCAAAAGGCTTTGCTAAAAAAAAAATAAATTAAAACTTGAGCTACAATCCTGTTTAAGCCACAGAATTATATTCAAGTGAAATCAAAAATTACTTTCAGAAATTTGTTTGCAACATCAATAAGTCTTACCTAAAAATCAGAAGGCTGAGTTGTCTAAGCTGGGCTTTGAAAACAAGGTCCTGCCTGATCAACAGCTCAGCCTAAACATTCCCACACGAAATATCAAACCCAACAGCAAAACCCCATTAACGAGTCGAGCAGGACTTAAAAGCAACTTCAAAAATCCCCCAGAAAACACAGAGCTGCAGAGCTGAGTCACTTGCTCCTCGCTGGTCTCCCTCATTTGAGTTTCTGCTGGGAAAACGCCTCGCTCTGGAGCTGAGGAGTTAAACCAGGCTGACAGCTGAGCCTGGGCCCGACTGATAAATGCCACAAAGTCCCAATTGTTCCCAGGCCCGGCCCATCCTCAGGGGCACAGCTCCCTTCGCAGGCCCTGAGCAAAGAGCTGAACTTTTTAGCCGAGCACAGAGAGAAACAAGGGGCAACAAAAAGCTACAAGTAACCGTGCCCGGAGTGGAGCCAAGGCGAGAGCTGGGGAAGGAATTCCACAGCCGGGAGCCCCGCGGGATCAGCAGAAAGCTGGGACACCACACCGGGGTCACAGGCACACTGGAGACATCTGATATTTCTCATCTGAGAGGTGCTGCAGCTCTCAGCTCGCTGCCCCCAAAGCTCCAAGGCTGATTCTGTGCTCCCAGGAGCTGCCACGGGAATCCAGAGGCTCCTCCGGCAGCTCTGACAACGGGATTTGCCCCCAAAACACACAGCCCACAAGCACCATGTGGAATCACAGCGTGGATCTCAATCACGGGTGGATTAAAGCTCACCCATGGGCAGGGACACCTCCAGCTGTGCCAGCTGATCCAGGCTGGCCTCGGGCACTTCCAGGGAATTCCATTCCAGCCCTCTCACCTCACAGGGAATCCCATTCCACAGCTCCTCTAGGAATTCCATTCCATCCTCACCTCACAGGGAATCCCATTCCACAGCTCCTCTAGGAATTCCATTCCATCCTCACCTCACAGGGAATCCCATTCCACAGCTCCTCTAGGAATTCCATTCCATCCTCACCTCACAGGGAATTCCATTCCATCCCTCCTCACCTCACAGGGAATTCCATCCCACAGCTCCTCTGGGAATTCCATCCCACAGCTCCTCTGGGAATTCCCTTCCATCCCTCTCGCCTCACAGGGATTCTCTCCCCGCTCCAAACCCACTCCCTGTCGGTGTGAAGCCATTCCCTCCCCTCCTGGCTCTCCTGCAGGAGCTCCCTGCTTGCCCTGCAGCCCCAGAGCTCCTCTCCCAGCTCTGGAGCCTTTCCCTGGATCTGCCTCCCCGGGAGCAGCCCCGGAATTGCAGAGGGGGCAAAGTCCAGGCAGGGCCAGGGGAGCACCCTGAGCTCTGCCCTGGCCCAGGGAAAGGTGTGAGCACTGCCCTGGGGAAGAGGGGCACGGATCTCTGCAGGGAATTCAGCCTGGGGTCATTCACTGGAGCTCATGAGGTGGTTTTAAAAAAAAAAAATAATTAAAAATCACAACTAGACCCTGAGTGAGACCCACACTCCTGGCTGTGCATCCACACTCCCACCTTAACTCCAGCTGAGTTGATTAAATCCAAGTATTTCTACATGTTGAGTCATAAGGAGACTGAGTTTTCTGGCTGCTGCTAGTGGTGGGTTTCTTTTTTTTGATTTTTTTTTCCTCTCCTTTAAATCCTAACTGCAGTTCTGAGTCAGACCCTGCCTGGTTCATTCGGGGAGTTTCGAGGCCAGTTTCCATTTATACGGGAGCTTCTCAAAGCCAAATTTCTGCCTTCCTCCTCCTCCTCCTCACCCCGAAACCACCGAGCACACGCTGCCCCGGGGAGAAAACGCAGATCGTGACTAATCACACCCAGGAACCTCCACGCCACCGAGGGAGCCACTTCCAGGACCTTTTTTTTTTTTTTCCCCCCCCCGAGGCGTTGCTTGTCCCAGAATCCATCGGCTCCCCCCTTTTCCCAGCCCCAAAAAATCCCACAGGGCAGCCCTTCATCCGGACAAACCGGCCCCACAGCCCTGCCCCCGCTGCCACCCCAGGAAAGGCACCACATCCTGGACAGCCTTCCCTTCCTGCCCCCTCCAGCCTGAGAAATGTCACCCCCCAGCTCCTTCCAGCCCTAAACACACAAAAAAAAACACCCTTCACCCTTTACAGACCACCCCGAGGCTTCCCCTTCCCACCACAAAAAAATCCACAGCTTTTATCAAACTTGTCCCTCATCCACACAGGGATCAGTAACACCCCTCCACTCAAAACGCTGCTCCAAACGGCCCCCAACACCAGGTAAAAACCCAAAAAACCAGCTAAAATCCCCCAAAACCAGGCACAAACCCTTCACCCCAAAACCAGGTACAAACCTCTCAAAAACCAGGCAGAAATTTCCCCCAAAACCAGCTAAAAATCCCCTCAAAAACCAGGTACAAACCCCAAACTCAACCCTCCTCCAGCCTCCCTGTCCCAATCCCCCAGGAAATGCCCCCCTTCCTGAACACCCCCCCAAAACCGGGGGAGCCCGGGGACCCCCCCAAGGCTGGGGTGGGCACCGAGCCCCCCACATCGCACAGGTGAGGGAGGACCCCCCAGAGCGGCCCTGCGGGGAGAAGGGACCCCCAAAGGGTCCCCAGCCAGCCCCGGGGGCCCCCCAAGCTCAGGGGGGACCCCACAGCTCTGAGCTGCCCCCAAACCCCGAAGTGCCCCCCAAACCAACCCCACAGGCCGGGGATTTCCCCCACACCAGGAAGGAGTCCCCGAACCCGCGGCTGGAGCCAGGCAGAGCCTCCTGGACCCCCGAACCCCCTCCAAACGAGCCCCCCAACCCTCAGGCCCACCCCAAACCAACGCCTCGGCCTTCCGCAGCCCTGAGGCCCTCCCAAACTGCCCCCCGGGGCACAAAACGCCCTCCAAACCACCCACGGGGGCCTCAGGAGGCTCTGCAGGCCTCAGAGCAGGGAATCCCCTCCGAACGCGCCGGGATCCCCCCCGTGCCCGGCCTCCCCCGCAGCCCCTCGGCCGCCCCCTCACCGTGGGCATTGAGCGGGCCGGGGGCCGGGCGGGGGCGGGCAGGGTCGCGGGCGGGCGGCGGGGCCCGTGG